ATATCGCCTTAGTACCAATATGCTAGAAACCCATTAAATGCTCTACAAGATTTCTATGATGTTTTACAGTATTTTTCCTTCATAATAATCTTCAATGTGCAAGATTTAACTTTAACTTGATGCCACAAACTTGGTATCCTTTATCTCGCTTCGTTTTCGTAATATTATCAGTAGTTTGTGATGTTGTTTCGCTTGAAACATCCGACATGAAAGCAAGTACTGAAACCGATGTTGGTAAATGCACATCTAAAGTATTATGCGGAAGCTGAAAATCAACCTATGAAATTCAATCATTCATTCAATTGTAATAAAAGTTGAAATTAATTTAACTAATTTAGTTAAATAAGTCATCTATGAATCACTCTCACTCTTATGATTAATTATTGAACTACTAATGATGATGTTAGATATTTTCTATCTTACCTGGTATTGAATGAAGTTAACGATATGCTTGATCCGTAATAGATAAAACAAATAATCAGTAACAACTATTAATAGAAGAATACAAAAAAAAATGAGTAGAGGAAAAAAAAGACAGCTAAAATCAACAAGGACAAAAACAGTCTCGAGATAACAAATTACAAGGTAAACATGTAAGAGAAAAAGTATAACAACCAATACCAGGTGAAATTAAAAGGTTGTTGTGAACAGATGACATCTGTTGAGTGGTTCTCATAATAGCAATTCACTCGGTATCGAGATCGCAATCATCTCAATATTACATACCATATTCTTGTATAATGGAGAATTGAGATGATTTGATGTATCCATCTTGATACTCTACCAAATCGCCTGAAATCAACTCACCTCATCAATATAAGGTGCAAATAATGCAAAAATCGAGCAAAAAAAAAAAAATTTAATTTTTTTTACTTGAATTGATAGAGCTCGTCGAGCTCTCAAAGACTGTCTATATTAAAAAATTTTCAAAGCCTCTTTTGAAGCAAAAATCCGCGAGAAAAGGACTGAAAAGTATGAAAAACTTGCATTTTCCCGTAGAGAAAAATTACTCAGCTTCTCAGCAAAAGTAGCCTTTCGACAACTTTTTTGCATGAGAGATGCGTGAAAATGGTCTCTAGTAATAACTTTCTCAAAGGTTGGATATAAATCATTAACGAAGCTGTTTAGTACACGGAATGAGGGTGTGGCTGTGGGTGTGTAGGTGTGGGTGCGGGTGTGAGCGTGAGCTATGTGTTTTCTTCATCCACACCCACACCCATTCACCTACACCCACACCCTAATTAGATATTATATGTGATGTTTTACAAATTTCTAACCTTTTCTATTTTTAAATATTTTTTTTTCAGTATCTGAAGTTGGACAGAGATTGAGAATATTTTTTTAAGATTAACATCTATATTATTATCTGAAATATATTGAACTCAACTGCTATCATTATTTAAAAAATAAATTACTGAAAATTTTTTAAAATAATATCATCCAATCGTGTATTTTATCTTCAGTATGTAAAAACTGATATCTAAGCCTAGTTTAACATTCGATAATGTAAAATAGATTCGTTGTTAATTATTTTAATATTTAATAAATACTTTTCAATAATGCACCCTTTTATTGATGATAGCACTGTAGCGAATAAAATTTGAATGATTGTTTAGATATAGTATCCAAAACGAATTCTTCATGTTTGTTTCAACTTAGAATATTTGAAAATACAAAAAGTGACAAACTTGACCAAAAACTTATCAAAGATTTTGCACATATGTTAGTTTCATGCAATGATCAATCGCTATAAGAGATTCTTTTAGTTAGGATAGTTTTTATCGTATATTTTCACTTGTTACTAGGCATTTGATTTCTGAAATAACTAAATAACTAATTTAAGTAGTCTTATCCATAGACTCAATTTGCTAGAAACATAGTTCAGTTGAATTCTTAGCTATTACAATCTTATTATCATCTTGTAACAATGGCTTATGAATTAAATTGCTTTGTAAGTGTTTCTAAGACAAACAAGAGATTCATAAAAAGCAAACCAAATTAGTTTTCCAGTAAATTAGGTCCTATCCATAGGGTTGTTTCCTCTAACAATTTACTCAGTTTGGAAATAAAACTGGTGAAATCGTGTAGAAATTTCGACGCTGCTCCACCCACCGTTTTTCGTTGGTTTTCTAACTGAGGAACGAAATTTTTTCCCTAATTTGAGCATCATTCCTCTATGGCAATGAATTTAATAGGACACTACATTGTTTCTAAATTTTTTTTCATGAGAAATCACATACAATACAACACATGCAATATATAACAACATAGCACAAGTATTTTCTACGAGAATACTAATTATGCTAAAGCTTTAACAATTTAAACCTCGATATCAAAAACACCCACACCCTCCGTTGCTATTCGTCACATTTCTTATGTACTTTTTTAAACGATGGAATTTTTTGTCTCTTTGTTCCTGCTGTTCTATATAATTACTCGACCATCAAGTCAATAGCAGGTTGTATAAACGTGACTATATACAGTCCTCGAGTATCGTATGTAATGATAGAATAAAAACATATATTTCATTCACACTTTGAATGTCACTAGGAAATAACACCACGATCCTTGTTCTTTCTTTATCTCTTTCATTTCACTACCTCCACTTTTTCACACAGACACTCACCATACTTAATCTCAGATACAAACATATCAGAGCTCTCACAGCACAACATCTAGCTGATTTATTACAATATGACACAGTGATTCTCACTTTTTCTTCATTTCTCTCATAAACTCATCTCCACTTTTCACGTAAATACTTACCACACTCAATCTATATCACAATCAAATAAGAGACAAAGGAGCGCAACATCTGGCTCATGCATTACAATATAATACAGTGACCGCATTCTCTCTTCATCTTTCTCACAAATCGACATCCACTTTCTTTTACAGACACTGAGCACGTTAGACCATTCCTCCAATCAACTCGGAGCTCTTGGAGGACAACATCTGGCTAATATCTTGCAATATAATACGGCGACCGTCATTCTCTCTTCGCTCTTTCATGAACTCATCTCTACTTTTTTACGCAGACACTGAATACACTCAATCTCTAAAACATCCAAAGTCTAGCTCTCGGAGAGCCACATTTGGCTAATACATTAAAACATAACACAATGGCTCTCACTCTCTGTTCATTTCTTACATATATTCATATCCACTCTCTTGTACAGACACTCACCATACTTAATCTAAACAGCAATCAAATCGGCGACAAAGAAGCACAACGTCTAGCTGATGCATTGTAACACTTAATCTCGGATACAATCAGATCGGAGAGGATCTTGAAAGTCGTTTCAACGAACTGATTAAGAGAAATGAACAAAGTCTTGAACACTAGCTCTCGTAGATCGCTTGGTATAGAATTGCCATAAATGAACGAATGTGGCTACAACTTTTTTCTTGTTTTTGTGCGCGAAGAGAAAGAAACAAATTTGGTTGTGATACGCTCATGAATACATAGTTCACGTTTGAATTAGTTTCACTGATGAAACAAAGATGTTGACTTGTTTCACTGGATGTAGGCGTGGATGTGTGCGCGTTTTGTTGACCTAAACATCCCATACACTCTCCCATACCCACACTCACATCTCAATATAGACTACTGTTATTGTTACATATCATAGCTAAGCAAGTCTAATGGAAATTTTATTATTATGATATTAGATGAACGATGATCAAATGGTGTAGAAATGTAGAGCCTTGGCTCCATAACTACTTTTAGTATGATCTAAGTACATAATAATGATAAAGTCATTCTGAGACTATACATCTAGATGTTTGTGGGTTTAATCTGCACTCATATTCAAAACAAGAGTGCTTCACCGAAATAGAACAAAAGAAAACATTGCGATATCATAAGTAACTATTTACCTTCATATACGTAAAGTAGAAGTTCGTTTGGATTGAGTCATTATAGCAATTTTTCAGGCAATGATTTCAAAGAAAAAGTTGCAGACTGCTTATCAATTTTAGTCATGTTATTGCGACTCTCGTTAGTAACCGACAGTCGCTCAGCTTTTGAATAGTAAATAAATGCGTCATAAAAATAATGTTGCTAACAATGAGTCACAAGACACAAGAGTTTCATATACTGATGACTTTTTGTTGTATTCTTATGAGAAAATAAAAAAGAAAGATATGCAAGCGTCAATATTGAAGGACATATGGGTATCACTCTCGGTAGATTTGGTTTTTGCATATCGCTAGAAAAACAAAATTCAAGCAGCTACCATGACAATCATTTCAACCTAGTAAAAGGTTTCATCAAATGACCAAAGCTACTGTGCTTAGGTTTATTCAATGAAAATCGAAACTAGTCATCGCAGTGTGATACTCTATGTCATTACATAGAAAATATGGTTTTGTAATTGAGCGTCATTTCCCATCTGAAGAAATTTGTGTGAGGGTTGACACGCACCGTTCTATTTGATTTCACTTGATTTTGGATTTGAGTTATCATTCTCGAGCTCATACACTAACATAGTTCGATTTTGAATTTTGCTAATTTTGTTATTAATTATTAACTTTAATAGGATATAATTTTATCAAACTAGTTGTAAAATATAAAATGATTCTCTAAAGTGAATGAATATTGATTAGTGCAAAATTTCATCTATTTCATTCGAAACATAAATAGCTTAAACTGCTTCCATATAATACAATTTATGAATAGCATAAGGGCAATATCGCCATTTTAATACGGATCAGTATTTTTTTATTGTATCATCTTCTTCTCACACTATTACACACATTATATATTGAATTCTTATTTTTGTTTATCTTATTTAATTTCAATGCTCTGATAAGTTTTCTTTTACTGTGTATTTATTGAAGCAGCTTCATCAAAACGCATTTACATATAAGTTTATTTATTTTGAACTAAGCCTATTGTTGAAAAAAAAACAAGAGTTGAGATGAACAAATCGAATGTGTCTCGTTCATCAAGAGTAAGAGGTCGGTCTATTTTTTTTACTGTCGAATTATATTCTCAATCAATCTGCAACAATATTCTTAGTCAATTGATAATACAATTTTCGTTCCGATTGATTCTTTTCGGCGACTAAAGCATTCATCTGTATGAGATAATCATATTCATTAATCTTGTCTTTTTTTGCTTCTATTTCTTCCATTTGATCTACAAAAACTTGTGTATGTTCTGTGATGAAATTTGCGTAATGTTTCGATAAATATTTAATCCAATATTCCTTATCCAAAACAAAATTAATCAAATAATCAGGTCCAAGTTGAATTTTTTCGCGTCGAATCTGTACGACTGCTTTTGCTACGTCATGATGATTTGCTAAAGCCATATCTGGTTGATACATAAAACATGGTACGTCGTGATCCAATGGCATTTCCAAAGTATTTTCAGGAGAGATGTAAAAAAACAACACCGTTTCTTGTGCATCGACTATTGCTTCTTCCGCAGTTGCATTGTTTTTATATGAACCTTTTTGTGCGCATAATAAAGCAAGTTCTTGTAAACGATAAAAATTAAAGACTCGCTCAACTTCTTGACGAACTTTCTCATCAGATAATTGTGCTTCAATTATTCGTTGTTCAACCTGTTTGATTTCCATTTCAAATAGGGCAAATAAAATACCATCATGAGACGTTGCAACAACATCACGTGCTTTATCATAACACAGTTTACGTAATTCTAGATTGTTCACCATCGCATCTAGCAATGTACTAATACGCTGTTTAAACGCTTGACGATATTTTTCAGCTCTTGGCAGTCTGAGCATTTCTTCATAACGTGCTAACCATATTTCAAAATAACCTGATGTCCCTTCATGTTGATAAGTTTCTTCCCAGCCTGCTGCGAATTCAGGAGAAAAGTCGATAAAAGATGCCAGTGGAACTTGGTCTTCTACTTTAAGATCTTTTATATGATGAATATTTTCAGGAAGTTTTAGAATACGATTATGAGTCAACATTAAAGTTTGAAGTTTTGGCAAATGTCCTAATTCTTCTGTAACTTTTTCAAGCTGATTACACTCTGCATTAAACCATTCCAAGTATTTGAATTCCTTGATAAAATCGGGCACCTCGGACAATATATTATTAGAAACATTTAATAGTTTTAAGGAAGTTAGTTTAGTTAAAAATTGTGGTATTTCTGAAAAACTATTGTTGGAAATCGACAAATAACATACATGTTGCATTCCTCCGAAAACATCAGGAAGAGTAGTTAGAGAAAGAAATGATAAATCCAAAAGATCTGAACGTTGTTTAAAACAATTCGTGATTCTTTCTTTTGCATCTATCGTCTCTGTGGTAGCGTGAGGATCTTCCCATGTTTCTAAGAGTCGTGTTAATTCTAACAAAGTCATAGATTTTTGAGATAATAATTTTAAAGATTGTGTTTGTACAGAAAGTGTACTAATAATATCATTATTGTTTTCAGATACCAATGCTGTTGAAGAACTTTGAAGCGGCATTCTGTTCGAGTGAGATTGCTGAGAAACGGTTTGAGTTTGACGTTGAGTTAATGTGAACGAAGCTCCACGAATCATAAAAGGATCCATTACTCTTATAGAATATTAAAAAGAAAACAACAAATTTTCTAGACCATCGAAGTGCATATATGTATAATTGGAAAGTTGAATTCAACGTTCAAGTTTTCAAACGTTGAAAGTGAAGAAACTAGAGTATTGTCAAGATTAATGATGACAAGGGAAGTTACTATTCCATTATTTATATGACAAGTAACTTGTACAGCTTTTGCTCCTTTGTAAAATAATTGATGATTAAAGGTGACTAACTATAATTCTTTTTCTATGAAAAATATAACTAATGAAATAATTGACAATTAGTAAGCTATCAAGGTTCATTTAATCAATAACTCGACTAGTTATTGGTGACAATAACCTTCCACTCCTAGTTTAAGTGTTTCTGAATTCTTGTGATGGGTGTGAGATTGATGAAAGTTGAAATTAGAACTATTATCTATTACAAGCATAGTTTTAATTGAATTTAAATTTTAAGTTCTCCAGTACCATACATATTAAAAATATGAAAACAGATAACTGGCAAAGTCAATCGATCAAATCACTATCCACTTATACGCACGCATAGACTAGTCCATTTAGTAAAGCAATGTTGATCATCAGCTTTTATTTCAGATTGGTTTTTAAATATTAGGCTCATATTGAGACAATATATGCTAACTATTTAAATACTCGGGTGCGTGCTTTTTCGTCCCTGCTCTTCCGAACATCCGGTTATTTGTCGGAATGTTCGAAATTGACTATAGAGCATAATATCGTTTTTTCGGATGTTCAGCATGACAACCAGTCAGGTGTTCGGAACATAAAATGACGGCTGTTCGGAACAAAAAGTAATGGATGTTCGGAGTGAAAACCGTTCAAATGCTCGAAATGAAAAATACCGGATTCTCGAAGCATAAGTGACGGATGTTCGGAATGAAGGGTGTGGGTTTGGGTGTGAGTGAGGGAGTGGGTGGGGTTGTGAGTGGGTGAGTGTGGGTGTAGGTGTGAATCAGACTGCTATACACAACCACCCACACCCACACCCACACCCGCACCACACCCCCACCCTTTTCTGTTACGAACATCGGCCACCGACTATTGCGTCTACGGAGTTTTCATTCCGAACATCCGTCACGTTCTGTTCCGAACAGCCGTCATTTTATGTTCCGAACACCCGGACGAATTTCACTCCGAACATCCCGTGTTTTTTATTCCGATCTTCTAGATTTTTCATTCCGAATATCCGGACTATTTCAAAACAACTGGGTTTCGAAACAGTCATCTATGTTCGATATCCGTAAAAAAAGCCGGGGACGAAAAGGAAGCGCCCCAAATACTCTAGTTTCTGCTAGGAATTCTATTAATAATTTACTTACTGTAGTCTGATTATTCAACGAAAAATATTGGTATGCACTTTGAAAGTATGTAGAGAACAAGTCAAATGATAATATATCAATGACATGGTTTGCTTTATATATTTGTATATGTGTTTGCGCGTTCTGTGACTCATTGATAACTCCTGGAAGAATCCGACAATTAAATTTTATTACTGACTTCTCTTTACTCTTTCTTTTTATTACTTATGCTTTTGAATGTGTTCTCAGTTGTTAAATCATGGAAAAGAGTGTGTATAGGTATCACAAAACCAGGTATTTTGATGTTATTGAAAATGTTATCAAGAGACTCTAGACATTACTTTGAAAGATCCAACATAATAAAGTTTTGAATCAATATACAGTACTTCTACATTTCGTTATTTTTCGTAGAATTTTATATTTACTTGGCAATGTGTGATATCTGAAGAAGAAAAAAAAATCATAGTTGTTGTCAAGAACAGAATCAACATATGTAAGGAATGATTCATTCATATTCATCATAGCTTTGTTGAGAAGAATTTTTTCTCGTATCTACGTCTTGTGTCTACTAATCGTGCTGTTGTTATTGTTATTGTTTAGGTTCGTTTCCACGCATATTTATACATTCCTATAGTCGTTTTATTTCATTGTTGTTTACTAAGTTGAGGTGATGGGTGGGGATATGGGTGTAAGTGTGGGGTTCGAGTACCACATTCATACACCCAGTTATGAAGTAATAAAAGAGATTCATTAAAATGATATAAATGAAAACATTTGGCCTTATTAAAAAAAATATCCAAAAACAAAAAACTGGAAGATCATTCACCTAAGATATTGACTGACAATTACTATAAACATATTCATTTATGTTTTTTCTTCTCTCACTATCGCCGTCATTGTGCTACAATTGAAATATTCATATAGCGAAGGTCATCTTCGTCCATTATATCTATTCATGAAACAAAGCTTGACATTTTTGTTTTCTGGACAATTTATGCATTTTTATGTTCTTATTTGACGTATATAAGTTGACAAAAAAATCATCAATCCAAAAAATAGAAATCCTTAATTGAAAATATTTTCATTCATATAGTTGCTCGAAATTATTCTTATAATGGTTTATGATAGTTCATTTGAGAGTTTTTTTTTATTGTATGTGAAAAATGATGTCCAACTTAATAATGACTTTTGAGTAATAATGAGTGGGTTTTAATCTAGTACAGAACAAAATTGTATTCTTTCTATAATGTACAACAGTCAAAACATCATGACTTCAATTGCTAAATCTAAAGTTCATCGAGAAGCTAGGATTGTATTTGGCTAGATTTATCTATTTAATAACATATATATCACGAGATAGTTCACTTCTTAAAGTCTCGCAAAAAATAGAAGGAAAACTACCCAATGAACAAATTGAATATTTACATCAATGTAAGTTTATTTGTTTTGTATTTATTTTACTCAAATTTCATTTGTCTTTAGTTTATGCAATAAACAAGTATCCAGAACACACAGAAGTCGAAGAAATTTCAAAACAATGGAATAAGAATGATTACAAATTTCTTTTTAATTTAGATGTTAGTATAGTTTTTATGTTCTGTCATCATTCATATTTGTTATCTATTTGTAAGAATGGTTTTTTTTGTCGTCGGATGGTTGATCGACAAGTAAGAGAACGATGACAAACATTAAGAAGCATTGTAGCTTAGTTTAGATGGAAATCTTCTTTCTTTACATTTATTATACGAACAATGTTTTTTGTATTTTCTTTCCATACAATTTCGATAGGATAAACCATTATTTAGCTTCTGTATTTCCCCTCTCTCTCTTATGTAGTAGAAATAAAAAGAAAAGCTTATCTAAGTTTTCCAATACTATTATTTAAGAATAAATATGTTTAAAAGTTGTTTATTTTCTTGATCCAAAAGAAAAACCAATAGTATAAAAGATTGATCTACTGAGGAAAAATATTCTACATAATAAGGTGGTTTTCCTCATGCAGGTCAATCTTCTTTTCCTGGTTTCATTTTTTCATTTAATGATATATAAAATCTACAAGATCATATGTCCAATTTTGAACAAGATATTTATATGATAATCAATTACATATACCACTCCTTTGTTCATCACGTAGTATCCTATTAAGATGCAATGATCATTCTGGTTTCATACGATCTTAATGATAATGTTGACAAAGCTAATGCAAAATTGTCATGCTTACCTGCTACATGAGTGTGTTTAAACGTTTTCATCAGTAGAATCTTTTTCTTGTAAATGAATTATAATTTTTAATTCATGTTCGAAGAAATTTAATAATTCATCATGTTCTTCTAATAAACGAAGACATTTCATCAGATAGATGTGGGGTGTAAGTGTGAGGAGAGGCTCGTCTTGTATCAATCAATATCTACACCCACACCTCATCAACACCTACACCTACACCCAACCAACATCCGTATCCAGGTCGAGACGAACACTCATAGAACGCGTTTGTAGACTTGTTGTCTTCTTTGTAGAAGGCATCAACAAATTAGAGTGAAAAATGGTCGACACAAAGGGTTATGTATATAATCGTACGTTTCTAAGATCCTTTTTCAAAAAATTAAATATATTTTTTTTTTTATTAGAATATTGGATGTTTTTATATTTCAGATCAATATAAATGTCATGGTCAAAATTGAAATTCTTTTTAATTAGTGAAATTAAATTTTTTTTGCTTAACGAAAGTTAAATTTTTTTTTCAGGAGAGTAGTGGAATTTTTTTCACTAGAAAAGATTAATTTTGTTTTTTAAACGGATGGAATTGTATTCTTTTTCAATAAACACAATCATTTATTTTTTCAATTAGACGAAGTGGATTTTTTTCCAATGAATAAATGAATATATTTTTTTAACCAAGCAAAATTAAAATTTTAATTTTAGCTAAGGTTCTAGTGAACAAAATCGAGACTTCATTTCTCAAGTGCAGGAAGCATGGGTGTGCGGTGTGGATGTGGGTGCTGTTTTAGTGAGGACTAACACCCACACCCAGTGTTTTGGCCAATGAATATGCGAGCACTTGCTTTTTCCATTCTGTAAAATTGTTTATGACGCACCTTTAAGTATTCCTATCCGATGTGGGTGTGCAATGGCGACGAATTGTTGGAAGAAAAAAGCATATTGCGCTTGCACATTCTACATCCTATGACTCATGTCTACTAAAAAGAAATTATATCTTCACACAGCACCTATCGAACTTGTTGATCGAATTTTCGATTATCTCGATGTAGAAACAATTGCTTTTTCAGTTCGGTGCGTGTGCAAACGACTTTATGCCATTGGGGATGCCTATGGTCGCTATGAACTGGATTTGCATTATATTTTAAAATCTGATCTACCTCTCATGACGCGTATTATTGATCCTAAAAATGTTATTTCACTTACGCTTTCGGATGAAAATAGGACACATGACCAAATTCGATTATTTCTTTCCCATTTTCAAATTGATCAATTCATTCATCTACGTTCATTGGCTCTATTTAACTTAAAACCCGAATATTTGCAGGAATTTCAAAAATATATCATGAAATATTCCATTAAAACATTCTCAATATCGCCTAATTACTCCTATGGCGAAAGCACAAGAGCATTATTGTCATCTGTTCTATGGCATAAGGGCCTTCGAAAATTCGAATTGAACAGGAGTGATGTCGACTTTCCTAAAATAGAATGACCGATTTCATGTGCATTGGAACACGTCACAATCAGTTGTGAATGCAGTTGGAATACAGTCTACTCTATTCTTGGTCACTTGCCTCGTCTACGAATATTGGTTTTAAAAAATGTTTACAAGAATCAATTCGATGAGCATATCCCTATACGTTCTTCTAATACACAGCTCAATCATTTAACTTCGCTCTCGTTACAAAGCAGTTCTGATATAACAATGGACAATGTTGAATCACTCCTTTCACTTTTGCCTAGACCAACGCATCTTCGACTGATTAATGAGACACTCTCAAGCGAACCTGTATTATTTGACGGTTTTCGCTGAAGGGAATTCATTGAAATAAAATTGCCTCTATTGAATAAGTTCGATTTCTTGTTCACTAGTAATGTATTTGACGAAAGTAAACGTTTGGTTGTTAAATGTGACCATGAGTACACGAATAGTGGTCGAATAGTTCATCTCTATTCGATACCAGTTTTTAAAGATAAATTTCATTATCCTGACCGACGAAGTACAATTTTAAGGTCTAAATGAAGCATTGATGGTGACAATGAAACAATCATTGTCAATACACTTCATTTATCTTTAAAATTGAGCAAAATGATGGCAGAAAACATTCGACAACAGGTAAGTGTTATTCTATATTGTCAACTCTGTCATTTCCTCTTGAATGAAGGATTCTTTTCAAAGAAATTCAATAGGATAGTATTTGATTTTAATGATAGGTTATGTTAAACATTTTTTAGACTTATATCGGCTGCTATTGAGTTTTTAGGACCCATTGATTTTATAAGATTCTCATTATTATAGAAATCATCCTTCATTACTATGAAAGTTTCTCGAAAGAATTTTAATAAAAATGATGAACTTATGCGGATATATAAACGAACTCGTATGGCAGATTAAAAACTGTAGTACATTCAACAATGTTGAAAATAACGATTTTTTTTCTATTACCTACACTTCAGTCATATATTCATTATATGTCATAAATAATGCGACACTAAAAACTTTAAATGTATTTCATCCGCTTTCATCTAATGAATTAAGTAGTGTTCTAGGGAATAGAGAACAATTTATTATCTAGCAGCATCGCTGCCAATAGACTATAAGAGTTTTTAAAAAGTCTACAGTCTTTTTCCATAGTTACTTAGATCGTAAATCTTTGATCAACTTTTCTATGAGGATAAGCACCATAGATAGAATAATTAGTGTGTACTAAACTTTCAGAAAATTGTTCAATACATTGTTTGAGAGGGGCGATATGTTCTTTTTTCATCGATATAGCTGGTTACATGAAGCTTTTGCATAATTAATATCTTAGAAATAGTACAGTAGAAATTTCTGTGATTCAATATATAAGTTAGTTTTATTGAAATGCTTGTCTGAACGATGCTTCAGATAGAAACAGATGGAAGAATACGATTGTATGGAAGTTTAGTTTTACACGGAAGCATTCATCAATAATTAAACATCGTCGTCAAAACGCAATAAGATCGTGAGATTCTTGCATAATGCTACAATTCAATAGTCTCCCACTAGTGAGCGAACCATCGACTCCACACCTTCTAAACACCTGAGGCTCGGCATTACTTTTAACTACAGGAAAATGATACATTTCTATATTAAAAGAAATCTGTTTACAAATGTATTAAGAACTGTTTTAGTGGACTATCAGATTATGTTTTATTTTATTATGTCCCATTGTGATGAAATAGTTAATATACAAAAGGATCGGAAGCTCACCTGCTTTGTTTGATTACGCCGTGTTTTGGAAGATATCCTTAAAAAGGACACGAAATATTTTTGGAAAGAATATAAAAAACTGCTGAACTAGAACAACACTCAGTCGTTTAAAAACTCAATAAGTAATGGATACATTTTAATCAAATACTAATGATTAGGAATATTACTGATTATATTGTGCAGTTTTTTTTAATAGAAAATAATTGGTACCATACTGAACCATTTTTGCAACGAATTCGAAACCTTCAAAGAGGTTTCGTAAAAATCCAAGATGGTCTCAGAATGATTATCAAGAGTCCCGAAAACCTTTTGAAAGGGTTCATGGAAAACTGATGAAACTTCAAAAAAGTTTCGGTTTCGTTGCAGAGTTCGAAATCTTTTTGAGTTTCATAGAAAGGATGAAACCTTTTTTGTTTTCAGTATACGTTGTTATTTCCAAACCATAGACTACATTTTGTGCATCCTATAGATCGATTTTATATAGAAAGTAATGGTAAAAAAATTGTATTCAATCCATCTCACAGTGTCGAAGAAAACGGAGCTGACTCAGTATATTTTGGAGAGAAACTTGATTTTTTGAAAAACGCAATGAGCCTAAAATATACACCCGTTTCAATATTTATTCTCTAATGAATAGTTGATAACTCATTTGCACATTGATTTCAGGTATAAATGCAATCCAACCTTTTCACAGAATTTAATAACAAGGTTTACATGAATTTTATGCATATCAATCACTCCACTGTGACTTCTTAAAAATAGGCTCTTTTCCTTTCGAAGTTTCAAAAGAAATTCTTCTTTTCTTATTCTAGGTAATTAAAAAGATTTTTCATTTGCAAAATATTCGATAAAAGGCATTCAAATATGTCGTTGAAAATAAAGCTTTTCAGTTTTGAAAAACAATGTAGACTATTTCTCAGTAAATTTACTTCATTTTATTATATAATTCTTTAAAAAGACTTCTTAGCTTAATAGAGAAAATACCTCTATCGTTGTGATGACTTTTTTGCCTTAAAATAGTTTCATACTTTGTATTTCAGTTGTTTTAGAAATTTCATGTTTTTACTTTCAGACGAATTCAAAAGTGGATTATCTATTTCGAAATGTGACAAAACTTGAACTTACAATTCGTGAAAAATGGCCTGTTGACTTCATTGAGCATCTTGCAACCATTCTTAATCTGTCGAATCTTCAAACATTATTCTTGAATTTCAAGGGTAGCTGTAAGTTCGATACGAGTCTTGAGTTCGAAATGGATACTCTATTCAAACATGCATCGAATCTTCGTTCCATTGAAATATGTTTCTTTTTTGATTCCGTTAGAATGAACTTGCTTATTCTCAATGCTATATACTTGAAATTACCTCGTCATATCAAACGTCTTGATACTTATATCACGGATATGGAGGATGCTATATTGATACTGGAATGAAGCGAACACCTATCAAGTGTTACATTTGAATTCGCTCATAGGAACCAGCAGTCCGTAGCTGTGTGATCACGGAATGGCTCTCGCGTATGGAAAGAGATTTTGTATGTACTAGCATAGGCAATGCAGTGCACTTGTGGCTTGGTAAGAGCACGAATAAACAATCGAACTTATAGGGTGTGGATGGGTGTGTACATGCACACTTACATCCACATTCACGCCCACAAACTTTTCTTCTAGGAATGCCTGAAGCATATAAAAGGTGTTGTTCCACCCTGTTACAACATTGTAAATCAATTGACGTTCAATAAATCCTATAAAGAACCATTTTTTTTTCGTTATAAACTAAAATTTGACCTTTTCTGCCGAGTGATCGTTAATATTTATTTAAAGTTTAATTAGCCAAATGACTATCACGAGTGAATAAGATGAGAGGACGAATTGTAGCAAGCATATCTCTTGCTTCATCTAGCTTTCGATTAATATCATTGACTGATAAACTAATAAGATGATCGGTGCAACCAATCCAACCTGTATTAATATAATCTATATTCTTCTAGAAGGTAGAAATTTGTGTGTATGTGTGTCTATGGTTGTAGTTGTTGATGTGCGTGCGAGTATGTAGATGTGAGGGTGAATAGGTATCCGTGTGATACGAAGATCTATATCCACATTCGCGTACTTTATTTTATGAGAAATCTTTCACTTGAAAGAACGTCGCTTTTGTTATAGCAAAGCCATTAGCATAATTACATTCATTTATTTATTATTTTGATGAGGCGCAATGAAAACTCATCTAACCTTTTGCATGCATTAAGAAAAAACAGAAAATCTGTCATATTTTATGAAAGCAAAAGAAGGATTACTTTTTTAATTTTAACTATTCAATTACTACCTGATGGATGTTGATAAGATGATGGACACTTCTCATTATATGCAGCAGAGAATCTAACCTATATTGTTTAATGCAGAATTTTTCAAAATTTAGTTTTGAGTAGATATTTTTGCCTCTCATCATTTCATTTATTTTATTTCATATGTTACATGTATATAGATTCCAAGTATATCATGATATTATATCAACTAGTGTCATGAAACAGAAATATCATTCTAGTTCACTAATAGAAACACTTGGTAGAAGTATTCCAGGAGAAATTTGATTCATACGAATATTTGTAGGTGCTTTGTTAAAACAACGTTTGATTGATCGACAACACTTTTTCATTAAAATAGTTTTTACTTGACGACGAAAACGTGATGATACTATCAGGAAAACATAAAAATTGACCTAAAATAATATCCAAGATAAAGAGGAACAATTACAATACTAAGTGAAAGCTTCTATTAAAGTTTACCGTGAAATTAGCATGCATTATTGAAGCAAATATTGCTGATAATAGACTAACGATGGCTATTTCCATATAATTATTTCCACTGATTTTTAAATTAACTGCATATTGAGAAATAATAATATATGGAAACCCAAATATAATAAGAACCATTACACGTGCCAGAGTCATTGCTGTCATTTGACGATCAAGACGTCGACGAAATACTGGTAGCTGCAAACGAACTATTCGACGAACGTTTCGATAGGCCAATAAACTCAACGTTACAGTAAGAACTACAGGAAGAATATTGGCCAAAATTGGATAATAGAAGAAGGAATAGTACCGCCTTGCTATAGGATTGTATACATTACAACTCATTGATGGTTGAATTTCATAGATAATAAGAACTGTTGAGCTATGCAACACGACAAAGCACACATTAAGACTTGTAAGAAGATGAGCTAATTTAAGTGTACTTTTTTGTCGCCAAGAAGATCGAACATTCGTTGATAAATATTGATCAAACGAAAGAAAACATACAGTAAATAGAGAATATAAAGCGAATGCTTGTAACGCCATGTTTAGTAGTTTGCACCAGACCACTGAAGTTTGCATAGGATCATAGCCAAGAATTCGTCCGGCAAATCTTGGTATATTTAATGCAAGAAGAAAGCCAATATCAGAGATACACTCGGTAATAAAGTAAAAAGCGGTTTGATTTCTTCGAAAAAGTCGTAGAGTGGTAAAAACCGAAATTATCGAAACATTACCAATAATTCCAATGATGCAATTAAAAATACCGGCATACAACTTATATTTCTCTCCTATGAAAAGAAGTTGTTGAGCTAGTATTAGTTGCGTCATACTAATGTTAAGATAAAAAGATTGTATTTTGTATTTTACAGACTTATAACTAATTATCTTTTCTCGATATTAGAAAAGAATAAATGTATTATCCAAACGATATTGTTTACTATTTCAACTAATAATGTCAAAATTTCTAAATAGAAAACAATAATTAGTGTCGATGAACCGATCATCTATGAAAATTTCATGAAACTCTTACACAGTAAAAAAATAACAAACATCTATTACCTGCTCTTGTATATGAAATGAAGATTAGTGGACATGTATGTAATCTTATTTCGCGATATAATAAAAATATTTGCTTATCTGTTATATAGAATCTATGGATCTGCCCAACCATGAAATACTAGCTTTTTGAAATAGCAAAAGCTTTTTCTTTAGAAAAAGAGAAAAAAAAACTTTACAATCAAACTGACATAGAAAAAGAAGGGATTCGACAGTAATTCATGCTTATAAAGAAGATTTAATACTCCATGAATTTCCAGCAATAAAAGGGAGCATAAGGTTAGAGTCAAATGCGTCAATTTAATTTTGATGCGTTTATTATTCATATTCTAATTGACAAAAAATATTCTCATATAAAAGTTTATTTTTCTTATAACAATACATTTTCTCACTTTATTAATTGTTTGAAAGTTTCTCTAATGCATCAATGTTACAAAAACAAATCGTCTAAGAAAGAAGAAAACAAAATTATATTATATCTATTTATATTGAAAAATAAATCTAGGCCGAATTAGAAGTATTAGCTAAGATTAGGATTGCATCGGATGAGAAGTGATCAAAATACGTTTGTATTATGATTCTTACAGGACAAAAGAGATATTTGTTTTACTAATGCAGTGTCAAAGTAAAGCTGGCATTTCTGACGTATGTCATTACTTTTGTATTGAAATTTGAATACAAAATCATTCACATTAATATTTATTTAATTATGTTAATGCTAAGTCGACACTTTCATTATGAAATGAAATTAGAAAAGAATGAGTTTTCTCTGTGAAAAAATTGCGTTTTTTTAATACTTTATTTCCATGGACTTTGACTTCAGAATTAGAGAAAAATAGTAAACAAGTAATGAATTAATGAATTAACTTCGAAATTCTTTTCTCCCTAGATTTATTTCAGTTGCTATTGATGCAATGCGCGAAGGAAAATATCATCCTGTGAATTGGAGTAAACTGCCAGAAGATGATTGACCAATTAAATCTTACATCTGACTATTTTCATTTTATATAAAGCATGTACATTATAAATTACAAGATCCATCAAATTTATTTTCGCATTAGCTTTTTTCACACAAAACGTTTTATTTTCTACTATTTCACTACGAAATGAACTTTTCAGATTAGAACTGTAAGTGACTCATGAGTTATGGATGACATTGTGATACAATGAAATTGTTATTGTGATAGAAGAACCAGATGAGCAAGTTTTTATATCTCTGCGAAGATCGGTAAGCCCACTCGGTTCTTCTGAACGATTTCGCATGCCTCTGTTTTACATTGTTGAAGATATTCAAATCAAGATAAACTAGAATAGTAATTATCTACAAATTAGAAATGACCTTTTCTCAATGAACCGTTCAAATAAAATTATAATTATACGTCAAATTACGATGATGTGTTCTTGATCATTCAGTTTCGTTTTATAACAAAAAATAACTATGAAATTCATTACAAAATCAGTTTTCCGGTCAGAAAGTGTATTAACACTTTAAATGCAAACATATGACGTTTCGATAGTATGTACTGTGTGAAACGTAAACAAAACTTCTATTAAATTTAAGTTGTCGTCAATGCAAAGGCTTTGGTATGGACACAAATAAGAGAAAAAGTTCTTTTTTGAATTCCTTAATTATTGGTTGCATTTCGTAAAGACTATCTCTCAAAAGTTCGGCAATTATAAATAGATGTTGTCATTAAATGATTCGTAGATCAATGATCATAAATGTGGGTTTTTTTTTATAATGCATAAATATAACTATAGTCAAAAAATGTATACCTTTCGTCGATTGTTATATCGATCCATGGGGCTCTATGACTTAAGCCAACTCGTACCGAATTAATATGAAATCGATTGGTGAGTGTGGATGTAGTGAAGATGCGAATCCTACCCACACCCTTTGATCATAGGACAACACGCGATCAACCATAATCACCACTTTGACTTCGAGAATGCCAATACAATTGAGTTAGAATCCAACTGGAAACGAAGGACAGTTAAAGAAAACTTAATAACTCATCAAAGACCTGGGCAGTCAATCTATAATACGAGATATAAATTAAAAGTATTTGGATAAAATTATGTACCGAACGGTATATTTTGTTGGTCCCATTACTATGTTCTAAGAACATACGATCAATCATCTGTTTACTATCAAACAACGAAACAAAAGAAAATAAACTAAAGATATTTTTCTCTTTCCCTCTCTCTCTCTCTATTACATATATTTGACAATATATTAGGTGACACAGTGTCTTGTGCTCTCTCTATTGATAATCTTCGAGAATGATTTATTTAATACAGTTTAATATTTTCTTGTCAAAATATTGACATTATTCTCTCTACATCATTGTATTGTTATTTGAATTAGAACAAAACGATCAGAAGTGTTCGTGTTTCATCGTCATCTATTCGTAAGTACAAGGTTGTTCGTCATGCAAGTGATGGTAAAATACTCTGTTCGCTTTTGATACAAAGTAACAGGATCATGGTATCCTTATTATAGCATTTTATTGTTCTTCACTTTTTAATCGTCAATGGACAAGGATTAAACTGCCCGAATCGACAATGAATACAAGAATCTTTGAATAAACCTTTTGTTCCACGCGCTGCTATTGTTGTCGTCAATGCTACTGACGTAATCTACGAGAAAGCGTTCGGCTATCATTCTTTTGAGCCGCTAAAGTTCATCAATATGGAAAACTTCATTTTTGCATTGACTTCTATTTCAAAAACACTTATTGCTGCTGCCGTCATGCAACTTGTTGAGGGTGTGGCTGTGGGTGTGGGTGAGTGTGGATGTGGATATTGATGCGAATATTGGTGTGGGTGTGGATGTGAGTGTGGGTGTGGGTGGGTGTAGATGTAGGTGTGGGTGTGGGTGTGGGTGCTTCGATGATCATTCTTTTCTTTGCCATATGAGCAACCAGTCCCAACTCAAACTCACACCCACCAACTGCTTTTCGATGATTAGACAAGGCCTTCAATCGTGGTGTTTGAAGCCAATATTGAAAGATTTTCCTCACAATTGAAGACAAAGTTGGATATTAACCTAGCAATTTTATGCCAAAAATCCAAAAATCCAAAAAGTCAATATCTTTTTCATCGTTATTATTAGCAGAATGGAAATCTTGATATAAATTTTAAAAAAATTCGGAATTTTTTCGGAGTCGGAGTATCAGCCATTTAAGAAAATAATTTCAAGTTGGAGTCGAAATCGAAGTTAGAAAATGTGACTTCGCAGGTCTCCATCACCCACACCCACAGAATAAGCACATACCATCGCTGGTCTGAGCGATGGACATTTTGAGTCATCGAATAGACAGACAAAAAACTTCACACTAATACCGGACTAAGAAATTTGTCAAGGCTTCGGTAATATCACTAAAAATACGATTTGTTTCGAGTAGAGGTGTGTGCTGAATTCATTTGTTCTTCGTGTTTGCCGCTCAGCTCGAATGTAATCAGATGCCTGCAGTTTCGTATGATAGAACATGCAGAATTCTTTGAAATGCTTGTATTTCTTTACTGTCTTAAATCTACATTAATAAACATATGTTGAATTATTCAAATAATCAATTTCTCATATTTGTAAGAAAAAAAGTAATTCATTTTTTACCAAGAAAAAAAAAACTCTGATCAATGTTTTGTATATAAATGAATGCAAGAATGGCATACGTGTACACATAATCATTGTCAAGAAACAGACCACACTTCATTAGAATACAATATTTTCAAGTTTTACAACTTATGGTACAAAACAATCGTACGGCTGACGATGGAAGGTCCCCAACTGATCAATCGCTTGTGCGTCGAGACTATGTGCATTATGTAGGTATGGATGAGCTATGAATATCCTAAAAAAAGTTTGGGCTGCTAGCTTGTTGGTAGGAAGATACTGCACTTTTACGGTTTGCTTTTAAATGAATGCCGTGGCTCCCCTCAGGAACACCAGAAAAAATGATTTTCGAATTTCCACTTGAAACTGTACGTAGAAGCAGACCTTACTGAGAATAGTATTTTGTGAAAGTTTCAGACTTTTTTGCTGTTGCTATCCGTATATACAGATATGATAACTTCATTCGGATAAACCAGAAGACTTCATGCTCTCATTTCAGGATAGGAACAAATCAAAAGACCTGAAACATTCACAAAATACTATTCTCAGTAAAGTCTGTTTCTATGTAAAGTTTCAAGTGGAAATTCGAAAATCATTTTTTCTGGTGTTCCTGAGGGGGGCCGCGGCATTCATTTAAAAGCATACCGTAAAAGCGCAGTATCTTCCTACCAACAAGCTAGCAGCCCAAACTTTTTTTAGGATATTCATAGCTAATTTGTATCTACATAATGCGCATAGCCTCGACGCAAAAGCGATTGATCAGTTGGGGACCCTCCCTCGTGAGATTGTTTTAGTTATATGCATGAGCAGTTCAATCTCATCTAACAGACTTAATAATCTGTATTTTGAGAGCTAAGTCTGAAATCAATATCAATATTGAAGACTGTTGGTGCTGTCTAAGTAAGATTGTTCATTATTCGACCATGGAATTGATGTAGTTCTGTAGTCGACTTGTTAGCAAGCAGAAATAGAAGACAATTAGTAGTAGAGGCCGAAACGAACCGGAAAAATAACGATTCGCTTCGATTCTACTCAATCCCAGTTTTTATTTTTCTGAATATTTCCGATTAAGAAGAGGGCGTCTTGATTTTTGCTAGCTCAACATACAGTGATCTCGAACGGATATTGCCAACGAGCGGTATCATGTTTCTCGCTGGAGAAGGAGCGCAACATTTTACGTTTAGTGTCACATAGACATTTGAAAGTGATCATTGCTTTTGATTGTGAGGATATTACAAAAAGCTGTGCAACATTAGCCAGCATCTGAAAAGAACGAGCGACCGATAAAATATTCTGTAGCCATTGAAGCTTAGCAAACTGATGTTATTGAATCCTGATTGTTTCAGACTGTTGTACCGCTCAGTAACAATCTGACTAGTGATGCTAAACTGTCCATTCGACAGCCTAGGAAATGAAAGAGATTGAAACAAATCACTAAGATCAAAGTCATAAAAAAGAGAAGATAAGCAGTACTGCTGGTGTCAGTAAGAGCCGAATCCGGTTTTACCGATTCTGTTCGATTCACTTATTGGTCCCATCTAATTCGATTCGACTTAATTTCTTTAAATTATGATTCAGTTCGATTCGCTTTCGGCCGCTGGCTCGTAAAGATAGGAAAGCTCTGTTGAAAAACTAGAAAATCTGCTTTGAATATAATCAAGGAAAACTCATTTCATCTAGGACAATCATAACAAGAGGAAAATCTTTGGGCTAGTTTTCCTGTTCGATTGTATAGAGATAATAGTAGTAGAATGGCAATACGAATTTCGAAGAGTCATTATTGAATTTTAAAATGCTAGAGAGAATTGTTTTTATGATACTCCATAAAATCCAAACTTATAGATTTTTTTTCGTAAATCGTAGTTCTTTCCTTCACATCCATGGCTAGAGTAAGGACAATAATGTGGGTGTGATTGTGGATTCAGAAACACCTACATAATCACACCTACACACCCACATACTCATACCCACACTCGCTTTTATAACGAGACAGCCTGAGGGAATCTTCACAATTCGAACTGAGATCATTGTTGCCTTTTCACGTTTGATAGTAGATGTGTCGTGTTTACTCTATGTGCGTGTTGTTACTATTCGTTGGCACAATCAAAGCAAATCACTTTCGTGGCGGCACAATCACTTGGAAACCGATTAATAACAATGTAACAGCTGGAAGTCAGGTCTCAATCATAATCACTCAAACATATACATGGAAGAAAATGCAAATTCCTTGCACAACTAGCATGATTGCGACTCAGTCTCCTTTTATTGATCTGAGTACACATGGGGGTAATAATGTGACTCTGCAGTGTATTGCTAATTGTTCAACGGCAGGTGGCTATGTCGGAAATGAAGCACTCATTGTTGGCCCATGTACTGATTTCTCTATTGCATTGGACTTGACAGTCAGTCAACGATCCGATATGATCAACTTGACTACCTCATCTTATTTTACTTTGGCATACGTTTCTTTAACCAATGCCTGGCAAACATTGGCATTGGGCAGCTCTATTGGCTGGAGTCTTTCCAGTACCGTAGACCTGCATATGAGATCAGACAATGGATTAATAAACACACCACCGGTGGCTACATGTATCTCATACATTAGTATTCCTGTTGGCATTACACAGACAATTCAAATTCCAGTTATTGATGCGGACAATGATTTTATTCGATGTCGATTTGCTAATGGATCATCGGAATGTTTCAATACTTGTCCGCCAGGATCACTGCCATCAGGCACGAGTTTATCTTCTTCGTGTACTCTCACAATTACAGGATCACTTGCTGGTAACTATTATCTTGTTGCAATACAGGTCATCGATTTCTGTTTGGATCTATTCATTGTAAGCTTGATTTTGTACTTGTTAATAGGTCGAAGATTTTATGACGAATGCCAGTGTCATTCCAATGAGTTCTGTTCCCCTTCAATTTTTGGTTTATGTGTATGCGACTCCAAGCTGTACTCTTAAACCTATTCTGGTAGGCAGTGCGAACAATGATGATTGTTTGGGTGTACAGGTTGGAACCATTTTCTCGATGACATTGACTGCTATTAATCAATGCAACAGTGGAAGAACAATGAATGACATTGCCACTATATCTTTTCCCATCATGACAAAAAGTGCACTTGTTCAAAATACAACCAATTCATCACTGTGGTCATTGACCATAACATGGCAACCAACAGCTACTCAAGTCGGTACACAAGTCTTTTGTGCTGTTGCATCAGATAGGTTAATCGATGAGACATCTAGTTTTAAAATCACATTGCAATACGTTTTCGTTCGATATTTCTAGTGCAAGTGTTCAATCAGATCAGTACTGTGTAACATTTTCTGTTGGACTTACAAGTGTTCCACTTTGTCCAGGAGCAACAGTGACCACCACGTATGAGGACTTATCACAGTTAAGACAACTAAATCTAGCTATGCTCTTTTACATAGGTCAACAACGACATACAGTACAGTGTCAGTTAATAAGCATGGATGCAGGGAACTTTTCATTTTTTTTCCATAACTTCTTTTAGTAATACCTCACCAACTACAGCAACGATGTTGGTTACTACTTCGTCAAATATAGCAATGACGTCGTTTATTACTTCGTCAGTTGAGTCAACGTAAGTTATCTACAGATAGTAGTTTTCTTTGTCTCGGTTGTGTTAGCAGCAATCCGAAAAGATAGAGAGTGAGAGAAAGATAGGTGTATCAGTAGAAGCAATATATATTCAGCGGCAAGACAAGTGTTGTTAGAATAGTTGTATCATCAATAGATCTATTGTTGTTGAATTAACTATGGACAGGAGAATGTAAAGTAAACAACCAGGTTTTGACTGCAAGATCTCGATGCTGATGACACTTAATGATAATCGGTGAGACAATCAACTGATCATCTAAATGACATACTCAAAACATCTCTATCAATATGAATACGATAGAAAGAAAAAAAATCAGGTTAAAGTCGATTATTTATCACGGTTCAAATTAATTCAAGAAAAGATAGTTCATTCTAATTGATTCAAATCACATTTTTATTAGTGAAGCATTTAAAATCGAATTTTAATCGAGAAATAACTAATTAAATTCGGATTTGTCAAAGTTTCTTTTTAAATGGATAGAATATCAAGTACGACGACGACCTCATCCACTTTGGAACTTGGGCTTGGTCTAGGCTTAGGCCTTGGTCTTCCGCTACTGGCGCTTCTCAGTGCATCAGCTATTTGTCTCTGCTGTCGATTGTGTCCGGGGCCTTTCTGGTATGTAAATAAATATGACTCTCTTATTGATGTTACATCCAATTCATCTTGTTTCATCAGGAAGCAACTTCGGCAAAGATTTTGGGGAAAGGAGAAAGTCTTTTGTCAGTCATGCCAAAGACCAATTGACTATTACTCACATATGAACAAAAGCCGAATACCTGATGAAGCGTCAAGACAATATCGGCAGCAGTACATCAATGACTATCCTTTGACACCGACGAGACATTTATTTCGTGATGGTTCATTTCTTTCCAGTTCATTCTTGCCTTCCGATCTGAGTTCCATGATCACAACACGAACCACTCTAATGTCGCCGCTCTCACACAGTGTCATGCCAAGTGAGGACATTTCTGAGCGAATAATGCGCCCTTTATCACCACAATTTTCGAGTTCTGATGGTTCAATTCTTGTGCGAGCCTATTTAGAACAAGAAAGAAGCTAAGACACTCTTTTCGATTGATTGCTATTCGAAACAAAGTACTTCACGGATTTCTATTTTAATAGAGACATGCAAAAATGTTTGCATATATGAAAGAAAAATATAAGCGGAAAATGTCATTGAGAAAGTTGCAAACTCCCAATATGACAACTTGCTGCTAGACGAATGTAGCAAAGAATGATCATCGGCTTCAACTTTTGGAAATACTCCATTTGATACCGTTTTGTTCGTTGACCATCACTCTTGTGTCAGATTTCGAGTACAAGCAAAGCTGGATAGCACAGAATCGTACATTGCTTCGGAGATCCATAAGTGCAGCATGACGTCCTCGTCTATTATTTGAATTTCTCCTGTGATCCAATATGAAAGATGAAACAATAACTCAAATAGTATCTTGTTCAATGATAATTTCAGTAATTGATGATTTCATCATTAGAGTGAATAATAGGTTGAAACACAAAGACGGATATGAATTCGGTTCGGACCATTCTGGTTTCATAAAGAATTTTCCGTATCTGCATACAACTCGTCTAAGATTAAAAGAACCGCGAGTGTTTGTGTGACTTTCGCATGTTAACACCATAGAAGTTGTGGATGTGAGGATGTGTGTGAAGAAAAGACACGCACCCACACCTACATTCACACCTCCGGCCTATACTCACACTCACACTCTTATATAAATTACATCGATAGATCGTTCAAAGTTTTTATACATCGAAACTAACTGAAATTTGAAGCTAGGACGAGTACAACTATAAAAGCGTTATGACCGAAGCTCTTATAATTCTCCTTCTTCCAAAATATGATGAAAATTTGAGTATATGCACGCATTGAACCACATCAATAAAAGTTGCAATTATGACGTTTTTAATATTTGAGAAAATACGAGAGTGTGAATGTGGAGTGTTGATGTGGGTTAAGATAAGATAAGATGAACTCACACCCATACCCACACTCGCACCTCATAGCGTTACCCTTCCTGGAAAAACATTTTTACGCACCCTAAACTTCTCGGAAGCGCTTACGAAAATGAAGACTTGCTCGTGTTATAGCTATGAAGTAATGCCTAACTATTAAGTACTTGGTTGTTCAGGTTACAGCTTATCTGAACAATGAATGTCTCCATAATACTTAATTAGCAGTATTACGGCATATATATCTACAGATAGAAAGTGCCAATATAAAAGTCAGATTTTTATCACTGGTGTAACGAAAAACTGGAGGAGCAGCTTGTCCCACCCTTGGTAATAATGTTTATTGAGTGACTTCACATCTCTAGAAACTTATATAGGCGATAGAAAACGAGAGATGAACATAGGAACAACGGAGAGATGAATAGTTAGATAAGACAAAGAATAAAAAAGAAAGGAAAGTCAGTGGCATGTCATATCAATATCGTAACAATTGACACTAGTAATTATTCCGTTGACTTGATGTGCCTGAATAACTTTGACTCCCAGCTGTTTCAAATAATCAAGTTTGCTTTTGATTGTTTTTATATCGACGCCTCTACAAGCATCTTCGATGATGTACGTTGCATAATTCAAATTAAATGCATCAAGAGCAGTTGTTGCTACACAATAATCCGTTGCCAATCCAACAATAAAAACGTGTGTAACATTACCTTCTTGAAGTTTATCATGGAGTTCGGTTTTTATAGCTCCTTCATTATCCATAAATGCTGAGTAACTATCAATATCAGGATCGGTACCTTTTCTAATGTGAATAACTTTGTTATTCGATGATGAAACATGTAGATGTTCATGTAGAGCTGCATCTTTTGTTTCTTGTATGCAATGTGAGGGCCATAGGACTTGTTTTGTTTTGATTTTTGGACCTTTGTATGTGACTTCATCGAACACTTTTATCTTTCGATTTTTTTTACCTTTTAAATGCTTCCTACGTGGTTGGAGGCTTTCAAAAAATGAAATATGATTTGGTGGGTGCCAGTCATGTGTATACACAATAAAATCAAAGGGAATCGTTTGAATTAAATGATTGATGATAGGAATAACTTCGGCACCATCCTGATGAGCAGGGCTGTTGGACAAAGCAAGATTTCCAGTAATAAAACAATTTTGGACGTCGACAACAATTAATGCATAAACATTGTTTGATGACTTCTCATCTAGAATAGTACAAGATTAGTACTAAACATTTTATCTTGTCTAGTCTAACCTTCTGTTGTGTTAAGTGCTATAAAAATGTAAATGATATTTATTATTATAACAACACTGAAGATCAATAAATTCAGTGGCTTCATATCGAACAACATCGCTGGAAATTGAAAGCTTTAAGGTATTGTTGAATTGATCAATGCAGTTCCTGGTTTCAATTCTCAAAAAGTAAATACACAAAACAATTAACTGAAATAAGAGACGAGACTATGCGTTTTGTTTCAATTACAATATTTGTTCGCAAAATGGCCTTTTATGAAGATCAAATAACTCATACTAATTGTGGGTGTAATTAAAAAAAATACAAATGCTCTAATAACAACTTTCATTGGGAAGATGAAATTAAAGTTAAGAATAACTGTTGTCTTCTTGACAAAAAACTAACATCAATAAATAATTATGTTAATCAATTTATGATTACCTCAATGACTCATAAAAAGATCGCTTTTCAATGTATTTCTGGTTTCTCCTAGTTAGAATAAAAAGAAACGAATAAACTGGCACCTAACTGACAATTGATTTATTCTGACATCTTCTGTGAAATCTTTGTACAATGACTATTACTTTATCTGATTTGATTTTATTAAAGTGTCACCATTGGTCTTATGACTCATTGGTCTATATTAGATTAACTGAAATGTCAACATCTCAGAATAGAAATAAAACATTCATCATTAGCTATTGATATAATAAACATGTCGTACCTTGCGTAAGAGTCAGGGTTGGAACTGGTTCGGCAAACCGGTACCGGACCGGACCGGACCGGTTGAAGAAATCAACCGGGCAGGTAAAGACCGGGATTTCACCGGTTGAAATTTTTCAAAAATCTTCTTTGTTAATCCTGCCTTTGACCATAAAAACTAAGGTATCACATGTTTTTTCTGTCAGAATAGGTAAAAAAGTGCTCAAAACATAGGTTATATTAATCGTTTTTCCTGAGGTTCTCTTTAAAAAGATTCATTATGATGAGCGTCTTTTACATGCGCCTTAAACTATTTCATATTTGGAGCGATTTTTTCTAAAAATCGGTTTTCAAAAAAAAATTCGACATTTTTCCACCGGTTTTTAACCGGTTTTCACTGGAATTTCACCGGTTGGACATATGATTCCAACCGGCTGGTTTCCGACCGAATCGGACCGGTAGGATTTTTCAACCGGCCGGACCGGACCGTTTTAATATTTCTCAACCGGTTCCACCCCTGGTAAGAGTTCTAAATAAATGTATATCTGATTTCATTTCGATGTCCTTTTTTTCGCTGACTACAAATGTATGACTCTTGGTGGACATTATAAACATGTATCGTCATTGTCACGATAAAATGATGGCTCAATGCTAATATATTCATGTATCCAGCATGTTTTTTTTTTCAAAAGTTTGTGTTGTCTTCTCTTTTTGAGGGATACATTCTTAATTAAGACGAATAAGATGAAGGTATCTCTATGAAGAATAGAAGAGTTAAATGAATTCAAATAAAGATCATCTTTTGTCACTTCACTTGACCACCGACAATTGGGAATATGCTCGATCTAATCCATACAATTAGACGGATAGCATCAAGTAACAAAATGGAAATCCAAACCATATCCTTCTACAGCTGATTGGTGCACAACTACAACGTGCAGGAGTTTCTCCTTATCGGTGCCAGTTTATTCCTGATACGTCCACCTGGGGTCCGCTTGGATCCCAGTGAAATTATTTTTAATATTTTGTAATTATAGTCTTATATAGAACCTTGTCGTTCCATCTATACTTTAGGGACAACTAGTAGAGTACGCCGGTAACCACAATCAATCACATCGATGTTGTAAAAAAGACCGTTATCTCAGGAACGATAAGTTTGAGCTATGTTGAATTGTACCAAAATTCCAGTTCTAAGAAAGAAAGAAATGATGCCGAAACACACGAAATGCTTCATTAACACTTATCCCTATCAATACGGAATTTTCAGCAGAGTGCAACGTATGTAAAAACAGTTCGCTTCCAAAACATTACTTTTTCACATGTCAATCAACGTCAAAATAAAAAACTTTCTTAGAATACGCGCGAATGTTTCCTGTGCAGTACACGATGTTTGCTTGTCTTAGACTCAAGTATCTTTCAAAGCCATTATAAGTTAGTTCCATAACAAAATAATGGTGCTATGGATATTGTTTCTATTTTATCAGGCTGGAACCCATACGAACCCCA